CAAGAAAGAAGCTTGTGTGAGGTAACTTCTGTTCAAGTAGATTATCAAAACTACTCTAGGATTCTGAGAATGGACCCAGGTGACGTGCTCTGCTGATTTGTCAAGTTAGCATTGCCAAATTCTGTAACAGATAGGCAATGGAAAGAAAATATTTAAAGGCTTTAGGCATCATCTGAATTTCACAGTGAAGGGAAGAATAAGTCTAGGGATTGTTAGGAACAAATCATGCCATAGGAATATATCTTTAGGGTTTGGTGACTTTGCAAAACAGAACTCTAGGCTACTAACTTTGCCAACACGTTAGTGTAAAATATGCCACAAAGGTTTTCTTTTCTTTTTCCTCATATGGAAAGTCTTTTTTCCTTTTGCTATAGAAGCAACAAATGGTTACTTTAAATTTTGATTCTTCCAAAGATGTTTTGGATCTTTGATCTTGTATATTTTTCAGAGGCTGATCCATATGCTGTGTTTGTATCACTTCGGTGTAGCCAACTTGTGCTACATAGTTAGGTGTGATCTGTTATCATATTTTGCTTTTTTTTGATAGGTCTCTTTCGGGTTCCTTGCAAATAAAGCTATCTCAAAACAGCAGAAGACAATACCAGTACCAACAGAAGACCATCCACTCTAATGAGCTGGCCTGGTATTAGAAAGAAAAAAGGAGATAAGAGAATGGCCTAAGAAGACTCTGAACTGCTACATTCCAGTAGGACTGTAGGTCAAGGGTCACTGGCCGTTTTCAGTTTGAGTAAAAGCAAGGAGTTCCTGGAGGAGATGGAGCATTGTAAGCGTAACTCTTGGATCAGTGATCTTTTGCCTCTTGACACATCAGGAATGAGCTGGAATATTTTAATTTGTCCTATTTGCCCTTATGTTATTACTCCTATATGTGGAATGTGAATGGCTCTTTATATAGATTTACTACAATTACAGTTATATTGAATTCTTTCCTTGGTACTCTGTGAGTACTGGCCATTCATCAAAGTAAATCAGTTCTACCTTTTTACTAATTAATATTCAAAATTAAGGTGCTTATGTGGAATGGGCATGACTAATTCTTAGAATTTACATCTTTAATTTCAGTAGATGCCATTTAATGGAATTCTGTGTTACTTTTTTTATAAACATCCTTTGTTACCAGATGAGAAAATGCAATTGTATCAAGAATTCACACTCACTTAACGTGTTTACAAATGTATGATTGCAAAATCATTAATTTTAACACTGTTCCTGCTACATTTTCTTGATACATTACTGGAGAAAATTGCCCTAGAGTTAATTAAATGTTAGGCTGTTAACCTGGGAAAACTATGAAATTTAATTAGCTTATTTTCTTGTCAAAATCAATTTAAGAGACATTTGTTCTTAGATCATTTAATTTTAATAAATTAATTTGTATCTTTTAAGATATAAAATATATAATTCACAAAGAAATTTTAATTTTGATGTCTTTGATTCTCTTGTTCCAGAGGATCCATAGAGAGATTTCCTGAACCTCTTACACATGACAGTGTTAAAAGAAATCAGATCTCTATGAAATTGAACAAAATAAAATCTATGTTATGTAAAATTATCTGGGTAAAGGGTAGTCAGGAATTCTTTATGCAATTTTTGCAACTTTTCTGTAAATTTGAAATTATGTCAAAATAAAAAAAAATTAAATCCTCAAGGGAAAAAACTCAACAACTTAAGAAATGAAAGAATTTGCTCAATGAAGTTTGAAGACTGGTTTTGGAAAACTGTTGAAGATGGCCATATAGTGTACTTCCATATGGCCTTTAAGATATTTTTAGGAACTTTTAAATTTTGTTACGAAGTAACATTGATGTCTGTTGAGGAACTTTTTAGTTTAGCTAATTACAATGAAAACTTAGCATAAATGTATATTTTTATGCTTGGTAGGTAGAAAGTTTGTTTGAGATTTCTGGTCATGATGGCATGCAGTGCTTATGATTTGGTCCCACTCTCCATTCCAAACACATGGTAATGATACATAAAATTAAAAAGAGAAAATGTAAAGGACGTAAAACCCATAAACCTGTTGCCTTCGAGTCTATTCTGACTCATAGTGACAGAGTAGAACTGTTCCATAGGGTTTCCAAAGCTGTATTCATTCTTTATGGAAGTGGACTGCCACACCTTTCTCCCGTGGAGCAGCTGGTGGTTTCAAACCACTGACCTTCTGTTAGCAGCTGAGTGCTTACCCACTGCGCCACCGGGGCTCCTTGTAAAGGACATAGCCATGTGTAAAATCAATATAAATTCATCTATGGACCAGGAACTAAAGATAAACACAATGTAGTAGTAAATGGATCTCAAACCACAGGCTGCCTGCACTCTGAATTCAGAAGCAGACATATGTAACTGAGAGCTCATTGCTTGTGGAGAAGTGGAGACCAAAAGTGTCACACACAGGGCAGAAGACTGGAGCGAGCCCCTACCACCCTCACCACTTTAAAGGAGACTCAAAAAAAGTTCTGACTGCCGCCTGGGAAATGGCTTATATAAAACTGTATACTTGGGGTATGGGAGGAAGCAGACAGCTGTGCAGCCAGGACTTAGTGGTCTAAGCTGCTCTGGGGTTCAGTGACAGTCTCTGTGATATATCCCCAGGATCATCAGGAATGGAGCCTTAAGTCATCTGATATAAAACCTGGTTCTGGACCAGGGTCCATCCCTAGGAGAGTGTGAGTCAATAGAGTGAAAACCTCCCACTTATGATGAGTCTGTACACTGAAATTCCAAAATATATGAGGAAAACTAATGCTGAGAAAGATAACCAATAAAACCAGCGATTGAAACATAAATTTTCTCCAGAGAAAACTAATTGTACTGTTTTAAATTGACTTTGAAATAAAGTTTAGGATCCATAGGGAGATAAAGGATGGGATGGTAGTTATTTAAAAGAACAAAAAATTGAGAAACAAAGGCAGAATGAAAGAAAAACCATGTAAATCATCTATTAACTCTTTCGGTAAGGTGATTATGATCTCCATACTAAGCAACTGCTACTTTAATCAAAACGTTTTTAATTGTATGTGAATTTTATTGGTATGAATTATCTAAAAGAAGTTGTCTAAAGAAAATTATAAATCTTTTTAACTTCTTTAGTATTATATGCCCTTGCTCTATCAGTTTGTTTTGAATATTTCTTGTTGTATAAATGCTTACTTATACGATGAGGTTCAGCCAGATTCTGGCATTTGAAACTCCATTACTTACCATCAGTGCATAAATTATTCCCTAGTTTAAAAAAATAAATATATTTTTAAAAACTACACTAGGAATGTAATTTTACTACTACTAGTTCCTATGTAGTGTAGACCGTGACCTAGATGGCAGCTTTTTCCTGTTAGGGTATGGGGCACCCTTTGGGGTTAATTCTTTGCTGGATAACTTCATAAATTTAGGCTAGAATGTTATAATTTCAGACTTCATTTGCTGGAAATGTGGCCTACCCCATTTACCTGTAACAGCTCATTTGCTTTATTTTTCATTTTCCTTTGCTCAAGACAACAGCACGGCCACAAACTGCATGAGTAGGTTAACACTTTCGATACTTTTAAAAAATCTCTCTTCTAACCTAATCCTTTGCCAGCTGTTATCCTTATACCTCTTTACAGTGGTCTTAGAAGTAGATTTCTATGCTAGTTTTTCATGAGGGAAGAAGAGTATCTAATTTGCTTTTTCATACAGTATTATTAATATTAACAGGAAGAGGCTAATTTTATCTTAAATGATATCATAAGCCGAACTAAACCAAACCCATTGCTGTTAAGTCTTTTCCAATTCATAGCCACCCTATAGGACAGAGAAGAGCTGCCCAATAGGGTTTCCAAGGAGCAGCTGGTAGATTTGAACTGCTGACCTTTTGATTGGCAGCGAAATGCTTAATCACTGTGCCACTAGGGCACCTAAATGATAATATACTCTGTTAAAGACAGGTTAGACACTTCTGAAGTTTGTCTGGGAGAAGGGGAATAGAGTACATGGCTCCTGAAATTTTTTCGTATTCTGTTCAGAAATCAGGGTTCACCCCCCACCCCCACTTAAATGGTAAACAAATGAAAACTGGCATTCGAAACTCCGTTACTTACCATGTTCGGTTTAATATCTGCTTCTCCACAAAGATTAACACCTTTTCCACCCATAATTTACTTGTCAGGGAATTTAGGAGTTTTCTAGAACCTGAGGTCAGCCCTTGGTAGGAATGATTACTGGATAATTGCCTATTCTTCAGTGGAATTTCCATTTTTAGATTTCTCCATGCTCCTGTATTTCTTTGGCAGAAGAACCTAAAGGTAATGGAGTATATTTTTTTCCTTTTCCAAGGCCCAGCTTAAACTGTGACTTGCTTGGGTGCGCTGGGACTTTGCTTCATATTCTTATTAGGGGCCACTTTCTACCCTTGTTCTTTTGTTATGGGTCCTTATTTACTTTCAGTGTTCTGTCATGGAACCTTTTATATCCTTGGACACCTGGGATTTGTCTTGGGGTTACTGTCAGGGGTTTATAACAGGTCATTGTTTGCTTCACCCTCAAAGTGGAACAGACAATCCAGTAATGTCCCCATAAACCCTGTCTTTCTTATGGCAGCTGCTATAGGTCGAGGAAAGTAAAGACAGACATCTTTAAGGAAACGTAATCCCGAATGAGATAGAGGGGGGAGTATTCTCCAAAAAGAGATGAATGTCATCCAGTTAAAGACTGAAAGATTTCCCAGTATATAAGATGCTCCAGTGAATGATTAAAACTTCCTCAGTGTGTATATGGGGGGGCTGGGGAGCACTCAGAAAAATTGACTTTCAGAGTTTTCAGAGAGATGTGCATGAAGAATCTTCCCTGTAGAGAATTCAAGGACTTTGTCTAACCTATAGTTCAGAGTTTTGTTGGGAAAAAAAAGATTTCCCTCTTTTTTTCTGTGGTCTGTTTTTTCATTTTGATTCCAGCCTTCTGGAACTATTGATCTAATGATGATTTCTTAATTTTTCTCTTTGCAGTTTTAACAGCGTGTGCCAGGGAACTCATATTCTCTTTCGGGAATTCAGCTTCATCCAAGCCACACCCCACAATAGGGCATCGTTCTTACGGGCCTTCTGGAGATGCTTCAGAACTGTGGGCAAAAATGGTGGTAAGTCTTCTAAAATTCTTTCTTGCCTGCCTTCTTTTCTTTCTTTCTTCCAAATTTTCATCTTTCTTTTCTTCCTTTAAATAGTGTTTTGAATACATGCTGTCCAGGGCTCTAGAATACCTCACTTTTGAGAAGCTATCATCCATCTTGTGTTAGAGATATTACCACACTATTCCTACCACCTCTATCTTCACTAATAGTATTTGTTAAGAGCCAGGTACTGCTCTGAGCACTTTAGGTATGGTAACTCATTTATTCCTCATAACTACTTTCTGTGTAGCTACTATAATCTCCATTTTATAACTAATGAAAGTGAGGATCAGAGGGGCTAAGTAACTTGGTGAGGTCACACAGTAAGTACTAGGGTCAAATTCATACTCAGGCAATATAGCTCTGGAGCCCTTGATCTTGGCAAATATTAAAATACCATGCAGTAAATATAAGAAATAGTGGAAACACAAAGAAGGACACTCCTTAGTGGGGAGTGGAATGGGGATACTGTTGTTGGAGAAAAGGGGAGAGAAGTGGATTAGAGAAGGTTCTCCTGAGAGCTGGCTGTTTGATCGAGGTTGGGAAGGAAGAGTAGGAGTATCCACGTGGATAATGGAGAGAGGTCATTCTAGGTGGAGAGATTAGCATGTGCTATGGTGTGGAAGCATAAAAGAACCTGGAATATTTAGGAAACAGAAGATCAGAATGGCTAGAGCATGGAATTTGTGAATGAGTTTAGGAGAGCTGAGCCTGTAAAGGAGTAAAAGAGTCAAGTCATGGAAGACCATTTTTTTTGTCATAATAAAGGAGTTGGATTTTATTTTGTAGATGTTATTTGAAAGATTTTAGAAAGGAGAGTGATGTGATGATAATCTGAGTTCTAGAAGATCACTCGAAAGGCAATGTGGAAGATGGCTTAGAGGGCGAGACCAGAGGCAGGGAACATAATTAGGAGACTCTTGTAATAGTTGAGATGAGTGATAATCTGAGCCAAAACTAAGGCAGTATCAGTGGAGATGGCAGGGACATTTTCAGAGATAGACTCCACAGGACTTGGTGATTAGATTTAGCACGTGAGGGAGAGAGAAGACCAAGGATAATTCCAGGTTTCTGACCTTATGCAACTGGGTAGGAATGTTGGAGGTGCAATAGATTTGTTCCGGGAAATGATGTAAAGTTTTGAAAAATTGAAGTTTCTTTGGGACACAGTTAAAAGCTTCATTAAGTAGCTGGAAATATAAGTCAGGTTCTAGAAATAAAGATTTTGAGAAGTGAAATGAAGTTTACTAAAATTAGATTTTCAAAGCACCTTAAAATTCTTGAGAGAAGAGCCATGTGTATGCTTTTGGAAACTGCAAGTCATTCATATATTTGAATACTATTGGTCTGTCATCTTAGGAATATATTCCAAGGAAAATACTAAGAAAGACACTGATTGAGAATGTCTTGAGACCTCATCTTGGTGAGGTGAAGGATGAAAGCACTCCCATTGGGAGGTCCTTTTAAAAAAGTCACTAAATTCTTACATTCAGAATATTAAAAATAGATTAAATTGCTCCAAAATTTTCAGATTTACAATCCCTACATCAAAACTTCCTTTCATGTATGTTTTCAAGGGCTTATTCTTATTCTACCTTCATATTGTTTTTTTCCAATAAGTATTGAATACCTTTAAGAGAGTTTCTATAGTGACTCTAACTTAAAGTACAGGAAAACCTAAACTATTTCCTCATTCATCAACAGATATTTCTGTTAAGCTTATCATGTACCAGTGAACACGTATAAGACCCCCATCCCCATTCTAATAAACGCCACTGCTTCTTTTTTTTTTGTTTGTTTTGTAGTTCAGATGAAGTTTACATTTCAAGTTAGTCTCCCATACAAAAATTTATACATACATTGTTATGTGACCCTAATTGCTCTCCCCATACTGCAACAGCACACTCCTCCTTTCCACCCTTGATTCCCCATGTCCATTCAACCAGCTCCTAACCCTCTGCCTTCCCTGACCTCTGGACAGAAGCTGCCCATTTAGTCTCTTGCATCTACTTGAGCTAAGAGGCACACTCCTCACAAGTATCCCTTTATGTCCCACAGTCCAGTCCAATCCCTTTCTGAAGATTTGGCATCGGAAATTGTCTTAGTTCTGGGCTGATAGAGAATCTGGGGGCCATGCTTTCTGGGGTTCCTCCAGTCTCAGTCAGACCATTAAGTCTGGTCTTCTTACTACAATTTGAGTTCTGCACCCCACCTTTCTCCTGCTCCATCAGGAACTCTCTGTTGTGATCCCTGTGAGGGCAGTCATTGGTGGTAGCCAGGCACCATCTAGTTCTTCTGGTCTCAGGCTGATGCAGTCTGTGGTTTATGTGGCCCTTTCTATCTCTTGTGCTAATACTTTCCTTGTGTCTTTGGTGTTCTTCATTCTCCTTTACTCCAGGTGGTTGGGACCAACTGATGCATCTTAGATGGCCGCTTGCAAGCTTTTAAGACCCCAGACACCACTAACCGAAGTAGGATGCAGAACATTTTCTTAATAAACTCTGTTATGCCAGTTGACCTAGATGTCCCCTGAAAGCATGGTCCCCAGACCCCCATACCTGCTACTCTGTCCCTCAAAGTGTTTGAGTGTATTCAGGAAACTTCTTAGCTTTGGTTTAGTCCAGTTGTGCTGACTTCCCCTGTAGTGTGTGCTGTCCTTCCCTTCACCTAAGATAATTCTTGCCTACTATCTAGTTAGTGAATTACCCTCTCCCTCCCTCCCCACCCTCGTAACCATCAAAGAATGTTTTCTTCTGTGTTTAAAGCTTTTCTTGAGTTCTTATAATACTAGTCTTATACAATATTTGTCCTTCTGTGACTGACTAAATTCACTCAGCATAATGCCCTCCAGATTCCTCCAAGTTATAAGATGTTTCATGGCTTCATCGTTGTTCTTTATCGTTACGTAGTATTCCACTGTGTGGATATACCATAATTTGTTTATCTATCCGTCCTTTGATGGGCACCTAGGTTGTTTCCATCTTTTTGCTATTGTGAACAGTGCTGCAATGAACATGGGTGTGCATATATCTATTCGTGTGACGGCTCTTATTTCTCTAGGATATATTCCAATGAGCGGGACAGCTGGATTGTATGGTACTTCTATTTCTAGCTTTTTAAGGAAGCGCCAAATTGATTTCCAAAGTGGTTGTACCTTTTACATTCCCACCAACGCCACTGTTCTTTATATATTGCTATTGAACATTTTTTTTCTTAAAGCTCCTTCTACCCAGTATCTTATTAGATAATTTCAGTTATCCTAAGAAATAGGTAAGGTAGGTATTATTGTACCCATTTTATAGAAAATACAGTTGTGTAACTTGCAGAAGGATTGTACAGTGGGTTAGCAGAAAAGCCAGAAATAGAACCCAGATTTATTAATAAAATGTTCTAATATGCTATTTCTATTATTTCTACCTTAATCACTGCTTCTGCGACATGTAACTCTAGAGATCATCCATTGCATTACACTGTTTTGCAAAAAGTACTTAGTGTAACAAGAATAGTGTCTTTTCCTTGACAATATATGTACTAATAGGTGAAAACAAATGTGGACTCAGTTTTAAGTGAACTCAGAAAAACTATATCATTAGTCTCTAGGTAAACAGAACTGGGAGCTGCAAGTGCATAGGTGAAGTCTACTATTTCATCAAAGCCTGCTTTTCCCAGGTTTAATCAGTCAGTAAATGTTTATTGAACACCCTCTATATAGGTTAAAGAATGATGCATACAGATAGAGTTACTCTGGTTTCTGTGACATAGCACGTGGAGATAACTATGGAAAACAGTAATTCAGATATCCCTAATTCTTCTGATTTAGAAGTGGGGCCTCTTCAAGGATTTATTTGCTATCACAGGGGATCCATATAGCATTTGGACTCTAAGCAGATGTGGGTTTCTTTATCTTTTCTACAGCATCTGCCAGTGATTCATCCATCTGCTGAGGGAGTGCAACTCCAAATCCCCCTGCTTTCTCCTGTGCCATAAACAAGTCCTAGATTTTATGTTAGATATTTATTGTTATGCATCTTAATCAGACAGCCTCTGATTTCTTAAGCCCAAATGCAACATTCATGTCTAGGTGAGCCTAAAGTCTCTGGTCAGATAGTTTTAATACATTCCCAGTTCCTTCCAGGAAATTTCAAAACATCTTTCAGTCCCAGAATGTGTCAGTCCCCATTTTTAATTCAGAATGAGCAAAATCTATTGGAGACAAGGTTCCAAAGGAAAGGATTTATTAAACCCCATTTTCCCAATTAGAGTGCCAAGTACCAGACTCATATTCGTTGGAGCTGCTACTATTGTTCTCCTGCACATAACTTCCTTAGAACCTCATGTACATATTTTTGCATGATCAGGAAGAAATGAACTCTTCTGGGAGGTAGCAAAAGAGGAGCAGAGTTCCAGCATAACATATCGAAAAACGAAGCCACCTGTAGAAAACTAAGGACCTGGTCCCTTTTGTCAAGAAACATTGTATCCCAGTTTTTAGCACGTACAGGGATGTGGTGACATTTCTGCATGACCAAGTACTGAATGATGCTAATTTTTCTATGTCTGAATTTCAGATAACCTCATGAAAACTAATCGTGAACCTCTTGCTAGCTAGGCAACTTTAGATGGCTGCAAATAAAAAGATATATTCAAATGTAATAATAAGACTTTAAAATTCCACTGCTTACTTTGGTATTTCTATCAGTGTAAAAAATTAATCAGAATTTTTTAAGTCTGGCAAAGATTGAAATTCCCTTGAAGTAAATTTTTACTTCTGTTTAGTAATATCAGTCCAAAAGAGCATTTGTCCACAGTATATTTTTAATTAGAGTTTACTTTGGGGCTTTGTGCTTTTACCAGTTTTACAAATATCTATTTCTTTTATTTATTTATTTTTTCATTGTGCTTTAGGTGAAAGTTTACAGAGCACATTAGTTTCTCATTAGACAATTAGTACACATATTGTTTTGTGACAT